GTCATACATGCTGGGCTCATTAGTCATACATGCTGGGCTCATTAGTCATACATGCTGGGCTCATTAGTCATACATGCTGGGCTCATTAGTCATACATGCTGGGCTCATTAGTCATACATGATAACTAACCAATCGATCAGGCCAGCCTACGCAGCACAGCGGCCTTGACACGCAACCGTTGCGCTTCCTTCTTTCTCTTCGTCCGCATTCTGCACTAATTATTCTGCACTAATTATAAGGGAATTAATTATTAAACACCAATTATTGTGAATGAATTAGTAAATTTTATCGTTTGTAAAATTAATTTCATGCTTCTTATGTTTTACTGCTTTGGTTGTTGCAATCGGTCGTTGCTGCTATTTTTTTACAGTCGCTTGTTGCTGCTACACTTGTACAGTCGCATGTTGCTGCTACACTTGTACAGTCGCATGTTGCTGCTTCACTTGTACAGTCGCTTGTTGCTGCTACACTTGTACAGTCGCTTGTTGCTGCTACACTTGTACAGTCGATTGTTGTAACATTTATTGCCTAGAGCCACTACAATCATTGCGTCAGTTGCTCTTGTAACAAAGACTGGCTCCAACACTTGCAACATCTATTTCAGCTTAAAGGCCCACAAAATTAAATAAAAGTCCTATCAAATAAAAATGTTATTATATAACACGCGCTCATAGACCTGCCATACTTCCTGCATTGCCAGCTTTCTCAACAATTAAATTTTCTGTCATGATATAAGCAAGCCATGCAATCACACACAACCAGCGCAAACAATCATTAAGATCTCATTAACAATCGCACATAAATAGCGTCCGTACTAAATGCTGGAACTTTACGACTCCATTACTGTGGAGGCTATAGCAGCTACAGCTGCACTACAGCTGCAGCTACACCAGCAGCACCACAACAGCTGCAGCTACACCAGCAGCACCACAACAGCTGCAGCTACACCAGCAGCACCACAACAGCTGCAGCTACACCAGCAGCACCGCATAGGGTCGTTAAGTCAACCGCCTGACCCGCCAGTCAGCCGCTGGACGTCGTGGGAGCCGCACGTCTCTCTCCCTGTACAAGTGAATACGCCTGCGACTATCCAGTGAGTTATTTTATTTCTCGTTGCAGGAACGTTTTTTTTCTTCTAATTAGTTGTCGATATAAGGTTCCAGGGTACAAAATGCGACTTTGATGTCTGACTGTCACGAGCAGTTACCATTTAGATTCCTCGCAAAATATATATTTTTTAATTTGTAGTTTAATTGATGCTATGCTTGTTAGATATGGGTTTAAGAAATGAAAATATATCAGGTATCACAGAATGTAAACGAGTTATGAAGTAAAATATGTATCTAATTTTTTTGCAAATCATAATGTGCATAATTTTTTATTTGTACTAGAAACCTTTTGAAACAATGTCATTAAATTCCCTAATCATTCATTTCATTTCATAATTATTCATTTAATTTCATAATCATTCATTCAGCTGTGTAAAGCCATTTTCATTCACTGATTTACACAGCTTACTCTCTGAGGTTGGGCGCAGAGTCAGGAGTAGATTTTGCGTTGAACGTAAGTCCATAAAAACGCGACGCAGCATTCGTGCATTGTTGTACAGCACACGAATCTTACGAATTCGTGTACAGTAAACGGATCTTACAGATTCGTATGCAGCAAAAAATTATTAATTCGTGCACGAAACACGAATCTAACGAGCTCGTGTTAAATACACAAATGTTACGAAGACGTGTACATCACACGAATTTCACAAATTCGTGTTGGGCCCACGAATCTAACGAATTCATGCACAGCAACCAAATGTCAGGAATTCATGTACAGCACATTAATCTTGCGAATTCGTGTACAGCAAACGAATCTTAAAAATTCATGTACAGCTAACAAATCTAGTTACGGACAGATGTACGTTTGAAGCAGGTCTATAATTACACTCTTCCGTAATTGCTCTCGTAATTCCAGCAACACAAAACGTTTTAATAAAAACAGTTTGACATAAAATCAATCTAAGAGCAAAGATTTTACCGAACCGTTTTTTTTATGCAGTATAATCCTGCTTTGTTTTTGAGTGTGGCTCATTCTAAGAAGAATAGCCTTCATGCTAGTTTAAATTTACTAGCTCATGAGCAATAGTCTGCATTTTTACATAACTTACTAGTTTCCTGTTGAAGCAAATCTTCTGGACAAATGATAGTCTCTCAAATACCATTTATAATCACTTGCGTTTTCGTACTCTAGCTCCCATGGCTTCATTGTAACTGTGTTTGCAAATCGTGTTGCCAACGATCGTTTAAGCGATCAAGTATAACAGCTTACCAGATCTCGTGAAATCTATTTCAATTTTTTTTCGATTGTTTGTAGAAAATCGATTTATATAAAATTGAAATCTGCAAGCATCCAAGTTTGGATTTGGGGAAAAGAAAAGGTCTCTGATGTATAGATAAACAATGCAGAAATTATGTATGTGACTATAAAATCTATATCCAGCTCTGTGGCCAATAGCCACAATATTGATAAAATCCAGCCAATATTGATAAAATTTGTGACTATATCCAGCTTTACAATTCATTTAATGCTATAATTAATGCTAAATTGCAAGCAACTTCGAGATGATTTTTCATAATGTATATACTGTGATTGACTAAAAATTTCGTTGATAAGAGAACATTCAATTTTTTTCATAGATTACCCGTCCTTATTCTCGAGCATATATTAGTCACAGCAATTATGACTATAACGTTCACTTTCTTTCTCTAACTATCCACCTAATCTTAATTCATTTTAGATAACGAGATAAAGATAGCACATAACAAGTGCACTGCATGGCAGGATTTTGCTCTGCAATTGCATCGATTTCTATCACAATTAGCGATGCAATTTGGATGCATTATGACACTTTTTACTTTCTCTTCTCTTTACTTCATTCCCTTGTTCTTGATCATTATGGCTAATGTAACAATCAACGTCAAAATTGCCTATTACTTTCAATTTTACGCGGCGACCTGGTTTTTTGTTTTCTTTTTTTATAATAAATGTTTTTTCTATATTTATTCAAGGAATTTATGCCTAAATATAGATTTCTATTTTACATTCATTTTCAGATAATGTTTTTAACGTAGTTTTATTATTAACGTTCCTGCTACACAATTATATATTATGTATACTTATATTATATATTCCTCGAAATTTTCAATTTCTCAGAAACGCACCTTTCTTTCCAAAAATATTTAACAAGAACAGAAATTCATATTTTACATTTTTTCATTGAACATTCCTGCAAAAAATCATCACATTAGCCTATTGATTATTGCATTTTGTGCACTGGTAATATCAGCGACAGCCTCAGCTCTCGCACCGACAGCTCCAGCAGCAGCGACCTTGTCTTGACAACTCACACTTTCACTCTCCCTCTGCCACCGCTCTAAACACTCTAATAGAGTGTACCTGCACACTCTATAGTGACACTCTTCCCTCTGCCGCCGCTCTAAACACTCTAATAGAGTGTACCAGCACACTCTATAGTGACACTCTTCCCTCTGCCACCGCTCTAGACACTCAAATAGAGTGTACTTGCACACTATAGTGACACTCTCCCTCTGCCACCGCTCTAGACACTCAAATAGAGTGTACTTGCACACTATAGTGACACTCTCCCTCTGCCACCGCTCTAAACACTCAAATAGAGTGTACCTGCACATTCTCCCTCTGCCACCGCTTTAAACACTCAAATAGAGTGTACCTGCACACTCTATAGTGACACTCTTCAATCGGCTGCCGCTCTAAACACTCTAATAGAGTGTACCTGCACACTCTATAGTGACACTCTTTCCTCTGGAGCCACTCTAAACACTCAAATAGAGTGAACCTGCACACTCTATAGTGACACTCTTCAATCGGCTGCCGCTCTAAACACTCCAACAGAGTGTGTTTCCACACTCTATGGCGTCACTCTTCCCTGTATAGTGCCACTCTTCATCTCCAAGGAAGCTCTATTAATTTCAGCTATGTGCGCTCAGTCGTTTTTGAGACATGATTAACCATGTTATATACACCATGAATTGAGCTAAATACCTAATTAAAAAATACTATCGTAAACTAACTTGAACCTCAAACAAACCAGGGGTGATTATTAATTTTTCATTTGCGGAACAACTCTATTAATTTCAGCTGTTTGGTTTCAGTCGTTTTTTAATTAGGTAATTAATTGATAACTACCGCAGAAGAACTTGGATCTCATACAAATCTTGGACCTTTAGAGAAAATAAATATATTCTCTTAAAGACATATAATTGGCCACTTAAGTACCAGTTCGAACTTAATCTTAGTATACATGTTATTAGAGGTCAGCCCAAGATCCGTCTCTATACATATAACAGTAGAAGCTTGTCTTATAGTATCTTACCTTATAGCAATTCTACCCACAAGACTGCCATACTCTTGTTGATAACAGTCAAAACCATGACTCGTTGAATGTCATATCAAACCCTGAGTCGCTAGAACCAAGCGTTCTACGCTATTGAATCTATATGATAGACATTGAGATGTAAATGTCAAACCGCGCTTGGGTTCGAACAGTGCGCGCGATTTCCATTAGAAATTTGTCAGTTCCATCATCGCAATAGTTTTTGTGGCACGCGTTCGACATCCCTTACACACACGAGTTTAATTTTATGTCTTACTACGTTTTTATGCACAAACGTCAATATTTTTTTATGTATCGGGACTGTGAATAATTAAAGTTTACCATAAAAAATTGCGTTTAAAAATTGCGTTTTAAAGACAACTCTTCTAAAGAATCCAGTGTCTCCGATGTTACACATGTACAATGAATTTCTAACTTTATTTTCAAATATTAAATTTTTTTATATTAAAAAATTAAAATTTCAAATTTATTTATTCTGTCAATTGATTCATGCATTGTCTCCGACTTTACACAAGTGTTCAAAGTACTGCAAGGAAACATTTTCATCAAACCATTGTATTCATTTTACTTTACATGCTTTACAATTGATTATTCCAATTTTTTTTCATTTTGATACGTGTGAAAGTATTTATGTCACTTGTTTGCTTGAATCGCAAATTAACTAGAAATTTATAAGCAAAAAAAATTATGCAAACGTTCATTATATCTTTATATAAAACGATTCAGAGATCATCTCCATCGTCAGTACGAAAATTGTATAATGCAGGTAGAATCACAAGTTAGTATAGTATGTGCAGATAGGATCACAAGTTTCGGTTTCGTGAAAATCACGAAATTGAAAATAAAACCTGAATACTCAAATAAAAGACAAAGCACGATAAAAAAAACTATCTACTCACAATTTCATGATGATATATAGGAGCTAAAAGTTGAATTCAAACTGGGACTAAGTTAAAAAATTTATAAGGATTCTAAAATACGCTGATCTGAAGTACTGGAGGTGGAAGCTAACATCTTAAAATCACTTTCATATACAGGAACATAGCAACTGTCCTGTGCTTCAAATCCTGCCCTTATGCTCTGTGACCTAGAATAAAGATTGCGTGACGTCATCCCGACGTACGCAGATGAACATCGTGCACAACAATATTGATAAACTAGGCACGATCGCGCATGAACAGGGATTATACCTTTGTATCTAGAATAAACAACGTTCCTAGTATCGCACTCGGGCGCAACCTCACTGTATCGCTTTGACATGAATTTCTTGATTTGGGTAAACAACAAACTTGCCGGAAATCCATTAAATGAGGAAATATTGGGCAGAATTTCCAATTCAGTGTGCATAGCATGGTATGTAGAACAATACGAAAGCCTCTGTGTAATAATGCTTAAAGACCATTCAACTGGAATCGGAATGAACAGAAGCTAAAGAAGCTGGTACTTAGACCGGTGAATGTCGGCTTTCAGAACACAGAAGTCTGAAAACGGCCATTAGATTTAGTAACATTACAGTCGAGAAATAACAAACTATTAAAATAAGATTCAAGCTCTATGGTAAATTTAATGGAATTATGTTGCAAGTATAGGAAAACAAAGATTGTTTTGACATGAGAAGGGTATTTGAAAATTAAAAAAGATGTCATCGACGTATCTGTTATAGA